GCGGCATCGGCGCCGGCGGCGGCGGCGGTGGCGGGCAGCCCAGCAGCTGGTCCTGGCGCGGGGAGTCACAAGTCACGACCGGGACCATGTCCTGGCCCGCGCCTGCCGCCGCCCCTGCTGCCACGTCCGCCTCCACCTCTGCCTGAATATCCACCACTGTTTCATCATCCACCCCGACGTCCGCCGTGAGGTCCAGCGTCACGCCTGCCGGCACGGCCGCCGCCGCGGCCGGCAGCGGCAGCGGCGGCCAGAGCAGCTGTCCCGGGATGCCCGGCGCCTCGGTCTGCGTCTGGCAGCTGGCCAGTGCGCGGCCCAGCGCCTCGGCGTCGGGCCGCGGCGGCAGCGCCCACAGCAGCTGCACGGCCGGCGCGCCGCTCGGCGCACGCAGCTGCCAGAGCCGCGGCGTCGCCTCCGTCTGCGAGGCACGGGCGGTGGGCGGCGACGGTGGCGCGCACTGCGAGCCGGCCGAGCGGCGGCACCGAGGGCCGCCGCTCGTCAGCCGCGTCTGCGTGCCGCTGCAGCGGCCGCCGCGCGCCGCGCGCCGGCCAACCGTCTGCGTGCTGGCCTCGCGCGTGCTGCAGGCGGCGCGCGCCGGCCCGCTGGCCAGCGCGATCGACGCCAGCAGGTGCAGGTGAAGCGCGTCGCACGGCTTTGGCGCCAACGGGCGCAGACCGGCCGGACGGCCGTCCGGCTGCTCGGCGGTCCAGCGGCTGCGGACAGCGGCAGCCGGTCATTTGGGACCCTGAAGCCTGCGACGCTGGGCCGCAGCGGCCGCCAGCCAGTGCAGCGGGCGATGCAGTGAGCAACTGACGACGACAGCGTGGACGGGCATGGGGTCGCTTATCAGGCGTACAAAACATGGGGAAGGCGCATTCAGCGATGGACGTATCAGTTTTTTCACACTCACGTCGTCATCGAAATCAGGTAATGCAGGAACTGTCTACCGCGCATCAGCTATTCTCGCCTCGCTGTTTATAAAAGTCAGGTCGCAATCCATATCAAAAGCGGATGGTGAGCCAGGAGCCAGCTTTGGGACGCTTTTCAAACTAAGTGCCAACCAAACGTGCGGGTCTGAAAAGTATAACAAATGTCATTTCGCAAGCTGCAACAAGTCCAAGCTCATCAGATCTTCACAACACAGATAACACTCATGGCAAACACGAAACAAAACCACGTCCTAAGACTCCCCACAGACCACATCAAGTGCAGCCACACTCGGCTTCACTCAGCGAGCGAGCGCCCGTGCGCGCACTTACCCGGACGTGGCCACGGGCGTGTGGCCATGGCGCGCCGCGTGTCGGCGCAGCGTCACCAGGTGCGCGAACTGGGCGCCGCAGCCGCAGGCGTGCTCGGCGCCGCAGCTGCGACGGTGCGCGCGCAGCAGCGGCTCGCTGGCGAACGAGGCCACCCGGCACAGCGGGCAGAGGAGCGGGCGCGGCGCGTGCACCTTCAGGTAGTGCTGCCGGGACGGGCCGGGGTCACGGTCGAAGACGACAGGATTTCGACAATGACAAGAGCACCTGTTGATCTTTGGCATTGTGAACAAAGACGGTTTTTCGTTCTCCTCTTAATGACACATATCAGCGTTGTTCTTCCGGTGCACTCTGAGGAAGTGTTTGTTTCATGAAAGATGGCGTGACATGCCGAGCTCTGGACGTCAGTCCACTTACAACTGGGCCTCAGAGGGCGTGGCTACAGCAGCGCCCCGCCTCGCCGAGCCGAGCCTCTGACCGCGCATCGGCGCGACCTGCAGCGCGTCACAGCACGTATCCCCCCCCCCCCCCCGCCCTCCCCCGTTTCTCCCTCCATCTCTCTCATTCGCCACAAACCTGTTTGAGTCGCTTGAGCGTGGCGAACTCTGTCTTGCGCGCGCTGCTCGTGCCCATGCAGACCGGCTCGGGGCAGACGTAGACGGCGGGCGCGGCGGGCGCCACCCGCGCGATCGGCTGGCGCCGGTGCAACCGCGTCACGTGGAAGCGCAGCGCCGACGAGTGCGGGAACACGCGGCCGCAGCCGGGCTCCGGGCAGGGCAGGTCACGCCTCACGCGGCACAGCTCCTCGGCGCTCGGTCGGATCACCCGCCGTGCCTCGGCCGGCGCCGACATGGGCCCGCAAGGGGGCAGAGTGGGCTGGGGACAGCTGTCAGGTCACAGCACAACCATCTAGCTGCAGGGCATGGCCATCTGCTGCAATCAGACACGAAGCAGAAGGTCAGAGGTCAAGGGCCATGACATGTCATCACCAATGGATCCATTGATGTCTAGATTTGACACACATACCAGTTCTTCAGCTTGTTGAATGTTGAATGTTCACAAATTCTGAGGTGAGTGATATCGTGAGCATCCTTTACAAGCTTTTACAAACTTTTACAAATTTTTAAAAAATTACAAACTTTTACAAGTTTTACATGCTTTCACAAGCATGCAATTCTTGTAATCCTGTTAACAACCATGTTTTAACCAGTTCACAATGCAATTACAGCCTCACCCATTCAAACCAGGGAACTGTTTGACACATCTGCTGGATTCCCACCAATTGACAATGACAAAGGCCAACATGCAGTGACATCATTGATTTGGGTGGGGCATTTGCTATGTCCATCACTCAGCCATTTTATGCCATTTCATGCAAGCTACAACTACAATGCACAGTGTGAGCCCCAACTGGTTTGACAGACACCCCAATGACCAAATGTGCATGGTATGGGACACCTCTCAGATTCCTTAACCCAATTCATTTGTGTATATCACAGAATACAAACAGACCCTATTCATCAACCCTGTTCTATTCAGTATTTTCAGGAACATAATCCTGACCATCTTTGACATGGAATTCCACATTGTGGTTTGTTATCAACTGCTGGCGATATCAAACTTCTAAACTTCATTTGTTATACTAGTTTGCTAACCTTAACACGTGCCCGGGTGGCCAGCTAGATACCCTCCGCTCGGGTGGCAGGGGGGGGGGGGGGTCAGTTTGACTCCCCCCTGAGATATCAGGAACTAAGACAGCTAGAGACACTAAATTTGCAGGGTGTCTTGATCTGTACATGAGCTCACTTAGGTCAAAGTTTGAGCTTCCTAGGTCATGACATTCAGGTCAAATAAGGTCAAACAAGGTCAAATTCCAGGTTGGTCTCCAAAGTGCCCCCAGAGCCTGGGTGACTGTTTCTAACAAAAAGGTCAAAACCCATTTGAGGTCAGTGACCTTTTTTACCTTTAGAAGGTTATGGTGACCAAAATCATGCAAGACTGCTTTGAGTTTTGCATTTGAATAAGCACCAAAGATTACTCCAGGCAGCATGTTCCTAAAACAAAATGTTGACCTGGGTTGTCTTAGGTCAATGACCTTTTCGGACCCCTAAGAAGTCAATGGAAGATATATCATGTCGTTCCTGCTGTCAATAAATTTGAAATGAGCACCACAAACTATCCCATACAGCAAGCCCTAGAATAATAAATCAGCTTGGTTGTGACCTTGGTCAGACCTTCATACCTGTCCTTAGGTCAGCATAATTTGCTCATTCAATATTTGTGGTGGCTAAGAAGGCATCTCAGAGATGTATGGCTTTGTCAAACACTCTGTTATTGTATCAGATTGGATGATTCCCCAGAAACTGCCCTCACTGAAACCATGGCCTAACTTTGACCTGCCATAGGTCAGCAATCTTATAAGGTATATCTAAATTTTTGATGACAAGCAATCTGCTATTCAACTGTCTACAGCTATGCAAATTTTGGTGTGTCTATGCCTCGTCATTCAGAAACCATTCTGGAAAAACCTTTAGGGAGTCAATTTGACCACCTCCACCTGAGAGCATGTTAAATCCTGGCAGAGGATACCTTGCTACATTTAATTGTTATGTCAGCAATTCCCTCAACATGAACCCAACCAACACAGCCTTCTTTCTGCTTAGCACATCTGAGTTCTTCAAACTGACCATACCCTGGAATGTACATGCCACATGATTTCTTTCATCATCTGTGAAGATGCGGAGTGCCACAAGTGACAATGATTTATCCTGAGAAGAGATCATTTCACAAGTAGGCAACAAGTGTAACTACATGCCTCCATGTCCAACAACACTTTGCTCTCCCCACATTGTTTGTCTGGGATGAGACCACAGTATACCACCTCAATTGGCTATAGACAGTCAGTGACTCAGGCTAGGATCATCATGGGAGACTGCCTCATGACCTCACCTTGATCTTGGAGGTGTTTGGGTAGCATTAAAGGAGGAAGCTGGTCACATTTCAGGATAATGTCAGCATCTACAGGCCTCTGACCAACCAGCAGGCTTCAAAGGCAATCTGCATTTTTGGTTCTAAGGGACTAAGCTCCTGATCTAAGCTCCAGTTTCTGAACTAGGGTGATGCACACCTCAGTAGTTTGAAGAAACTGCACAGCATCTACCAAAATTGGCAATATTTTATGACAACTGTGGTGATGAGCAAAGATGTGTGCCAATTGTTCCTACAGACGTAATCAACAACGAAAAATTAGAATAATGCTTACTAAGTGCGTTGAGATGATGCCGTACAGCTACGGCTATCGCATGCCGCGACGTCTTGTAGTTACGCTTCGAAGAGGCGGTTCAAATGCGGTATATCCACGAGCGTCTCACCCCGTTAAAAATAATTTGCGATTTAATCATTCCACAAAACCGACTCCGTAAATATAATACAACCAAAGCCGTATACACGTACAACAGTCCTACGCATAACGTCACGATAACCCCGTATTTGTCGCATACAAAATACACATCGTTAGAGTTGCGAACTGTAAAGACAAACTGGCTTTGGGTGAATGGAATGAATATTAAACGCAAATGTAGTAATATCATGCAAGACAAGTCTCGGTTTGCTATCAAAGTATTTTATTCTTTCATATTTAGACGAAAATTGTGATTTTTTTCAGTTTTCAGAAAATAAGTGGCATTGGTTTCCATGTTTTGTGCGCGTTTTGTGCATCTCTACCCAAAATGGTAAGCGTCCACGGAGCGCGCGTGCTGTGCTGCCGCGATGGACGCGGACCTAGAAATAGACGGGAAGCCACTATCGGCACTGCGTGTGATAGATTTAAAGGATGAGTTAGACAAAAGAAACTTGTCTAAGTCTGGCACAAAGAAAGAATTGTTGGAGCGGCTTCGCGCGGTGAGATATTCGAAAGTTTTGGGATTGGTGGCGTTAGTGGCGCTTTGTACATGCGGACTTTGATGCGAAAATTGAGTAGAAAAGCTGTATTTCTATGTCTCAACATTCTATTTTCACTATTTCCACAACTTAGTGACATCCGATAGCTCCAATGTTAGGTAAACTGAGGTCAGTCCGCGAAAATTTTGAAAGCTACTGTTTGAACTCGGTAGATGTGGGTATCATAAACGTTCCTAATCGTGTGCGGAGTGGTCATGTGGCCATTGCCATCAGAGTGTTCAGAGATTCAAACAGTTTTGTGTTTTTTGGTGCACTAGAAGCACATATGCTTACGTCTTTGATATAAAAGTTGCTGGAAGCTGGACAGTTGGCTGCTGGGCCAGGCTGCTTCAGGTCAAAATTGTAGCATCCATTGTAGCACTATTCAAACTTGTTGTTTGTGTGGCATCTCTTGCAATGGATGTTCTGGGGATTATTTAACTCGGACATTGTACAGGTTTTGTCAAAGACCACTGGTTGTAATGTGCAGCTTGTTTACACCCAAATTGTGATGTCAGTCTCATGTGCTCAAAATGCTTACAGTTTGAATGGTCCCTAGGTCTTCACTTACAACCATAGTTGTGGACATTGTCTTGTCATCATGAAATTGGCTCATGGCCCTAAGACCTTTGAACTGACATAACACATTGTCTTTTGCAGCATGTCCATTTGGAGAAAGAGCGAGAAAGAAGTGCTAGCAGTGAAGAAGACCAGGCACCCAACATCAGTGTAAGTTCATCACAGTAATATGTGCACAAACCCACATCATTGATAAAGTCACTGGAGTTGGAGCAACATCTGGGCTGGAGTAAAATGATCATGTAAATATTGCATGCTTTCTCCTATCTTATCATTATCATTGGCATACTGTCATTGCCTCTTGTTGCCTAGCTGCCCTTAACCATAGAGATTTTATTCACTGTCACCCACAATCTTTGTCACATAAAATGCTTGCCGGATGTGCAGAATCCTTGGTCAGGGTGTACTTTCCTACCTCATGTTACAAAAGAACATCGTACATCAATCGTTGTTTTTAAGGCGGAACATAATTAATTTAAAACAGGTGATCTATACTCTTACCTTGGAACTTAACTAATTATGATATTGAACATCTGACCACAGCAAACACAGCACCTGTGATACCGATGCCATTGCTGTGTGCAGTCACAACATTACTAACATTACTGCACATTAAGCAGCATCAAGAACCATAAAAATGTAGGGGGCCAAGGTAACAAGAATCCATGAAATTTGACCATTGATGCCAAGGGGACAATGGGTTGCAGGGGGGATTGTAGTTGTATAGGATGCTAGCCCCTCCCCAACTTTAGGAAGAAGCTTGGTCAAAATCAGGGAGAACATAGTTTGCAACATTTACTTCGCATGGAAGAGTTCTCTGCTCACCTGCTCCACAAAGTTATGTACAAAACTACACCTGGGATGTCAGGCTGCTTCGTGATCAGGCCTTGGAGTCCAACACAGCAGGGGCAGAGGAATCATTTCCTCAGAGGGTAATCCAGCTGTACAAAGTTAGCATCATTACATCTACTCACCAGCTATGAGTCTGATACCATATTTCTCTCAGTGCACGACACTGAGGTGAATTTATGTCTTGCCTTTATCCTTCCTACCAACCAGTTGCGCTATCAGTGCTCCGCATGACTGAGATAAATTATGCATTGCCTCTATCTATACCACCAACCAGTCGCGCTATCACTGCTCCACACGCAGCTCTTGCAAACAAGGTCAGAAGGCTACATAAATGGTATGCACTAAATAGCAGTCTTCAAAGACTGAGCCACTGTAATTTATTTATTGGTTTGTATATTGTGTTCTTAGGACCTTAATGACATTCTAAAAAGATTTATTGGCAAGACCCCACTCAAAGAAAAGGCAGATCTTAAAAAACAAATAATCATCTAAATACAAAGCCAAAAGGTCTGCTCAACAGAGAACAAGAAACCCTGCTTCAGCTTTATGGTGACATCATGATGCTGTGGCGATGCTCTGTAGATCACAAGGAAAAATTCATGCTTTTTTATTCACTTTAATCATGTATTCCATGCGGATTTCTTGGCAAAGAATATGCCTTTTCTCCAATGCTAATTCCTCCGCAGGAGCCGGAGACTCGCGGAGCGTTGGTTTTCCGCGTGCCCAGGCGAGCGTCTGGGATGGTGTTTGACGCCACCATTTACCTTCTATTCAATGCCAATTTTTGATAGCTTCAAAAGCAGTTTTAATAAGGGTGCCTTTTGAAAAGAATTATAAAATTGTTCATCAATATATAATTAATTCACCCTATATTTATGCTAGTGTGACATCATATACTTAAGTAACAATTTGTAGTGTTACGATGATTTTTACGTATAATCGAGAAACGTTGAAGCGTGACGCTTTGAGTGCGGGCTCGGACCCGGCGTCTGAGGGCGTCGGTGTCGTTGGACGGTAGGTGGGTTTAACGTGTGCTGGTGAGCTGCAGCAGACCTGGACACTGAGTGCATTGCGAGGAAATATTGTGTGAAATGGTAGAGAGATTCGGCTCTAACCCGCGAACAGTGTCCCTCGTTTAATCGTGTGAGAGTGGCTCGCGATGCTGTCGAGGTTTCAGTAACAGCTTGCCTTCATCTGACGTCGCCCACGGAGAACAATTTTTACATCCATTCCAGTGTATATTTGTGGAGAACAAAATGTATTGGGGCTTAAAATACCAAGAAGCACCCAAGTTTCAGACACTGGTGTAATGTGCTGAAAACAATATTACTGGCAGGCTTCATGGTTAAAAGAGTTGTCCCTTCTTCTAATGCTTTTCATTCAAACCTAGGTTAGATTTATTCTGAAGGGTTTGCATAGGTGGCTTTTGGTTTAGTTTAGTTGCTAGGTATAATTGTCAGGTTTGCTATATGTTCCCTGAACCCCCCACCTAACTTGTGCCATCCAGTTCCTGGAGACAGGCCATCCCTGCCTGCAAAACAATGTGCATGCTCTGGGATTTGTACCCGGTGCTGCTGGATTGATGTTTGCAATGCACTTATTGGCCAGTATCATTGGGGTTGAATGATATGAGAACCTGAACCACTTTTTAGGGGATGAAGATATCCAAATATGAGGTCATTAGCTCATAAAATCAACACGGCATGATATTAATGTGCAGTAACTTGCATGAGAGCTGGAAACACTTTTTGGAAGGGAAAGTTATTCAAAAATGAGATCATTAGCTGGCAAATTCTACAAAAAATACGTGCAGTGTTTTTTTGAAGTGTTTTGGCAGTGAATGATCCAGCATTGGTCGGGGGACAGGATCCACATTACACCACCTTTCGCTGGTTTTCATTCCACTGCTCTAGAGCAAATCTAAGGCCTTAGAGACGGGCAGCGTCGGTTAGCAGCGCACCAGTAGCGCTCGTGCACATTGAGTCAGGGACGGTGAGGACGCGAGAGCCCACTTGATCCTGTTTAACGTGGCCTGGTGATCAGGAGTTCAGCGAGATGCCAGTAATGGTCTGAGCGGGTCCTTGGGCACGTTCAGCCGTCGTGGAGATCACCGCCGGGAAATCAGCCGACTGAATGACCAGGCCCATGAGCCACCGGAGAGTGGGCATGTCCGGTACTGGGAACCCAGCAGAAGCGTACAGCTGTCATGAGCCCGCTGTCTTCCCATCCCGGGATGCGCTGTAGCTGCAGTGGCTGACCCTGTCGGAGGCGATGATGAGTGTGTCCGCCCGCAACGTGATGTGACGCTGGGGGTGGTGCTCGAGGGCGGCCGCACCTGCTCGGCTTGGCCCAGAAAGCTGGCGTCTGAGTCGAAAACATCATCAGTCAACTTGCTCACGTATTCATCGCCAGCAGTTGCTTCATTGTCTCGTCACTCTCAAACCCGGTTGAAACCAGGCCCATGGGTGACCACAGAAAATTAAGTATTCCCAAGGTGTTCAGAATGTCGTCAGAATCAGAGGTACGCGGTTCGATTCCCCGCGGTGCCCGCTGTTCCAAACAGAGTGAGAAACAGGCGACGCCATAGCGACGCCTCAACAGCTGACTACGTCGGAAAGCTCCAGTCATGATAAATTTACTTGTAATGTAATTTCCCTGAATAACTGTGAACGAAATTCAATTGGGATCCAAAACGACCATGAATTGTAATGTAGTGAACGTCGCACGCAATTCGTGGAGAGTCCATGTCCATTCGCGGAATGACATCTGGTTCTACTTAAAGTAAAATGACTCCAGCGCCGCTCTGAAGTGTTGACTGGGTTATTTGGGCTCGAAAATAGATTAACTGGGCTTAAATCCAGGTTCAAGGGGTTTACCAGAGCATGCGAGCATGCCTTATAGATATGCTCCGAAGGTGGCATAGTCCCTGCATTATGGCTTTGCTACTTCAGTGTGACTGGTATGTGTCACTTATTTTTTATACCGGGCATGCGCAGCTCTTGTCACGGCAATGCGATCTCAAACGCGGAAAGAATTGGTGTCGCGCTGTGAAATCGTCCGGTAGGAATCCTTCAGGACGTCACATAGAAAAGCACATTCTCGGCGTGCTGCGAATACACCCTTAGTCTGAATGCTGCTACTTATTGTCTCTTGGTGTATTTGCTCATCTGTTCTGTTGAAATAGTTATGCCTATTTAGCTGCTGTACCTCGAAGTAATGCGATGTTACGTTGAAGTGTGTACCTGAAGTTAACGCCGGATATCCTGATGGACAACGTCGGTAACTGCGTCTGTCTCATTCCAGTTGAGGAATGAGGGAGCCTTGGCTGGCAATGACTTCATCAAGCAATACCTAGAGAAGCAGCAGGCGCAGCTCATCCAACAGCGTGAGGCCCGCCGTAAGGTGGAAGGTGGGGCTGTCAGGCTTTTAATCAACCGGGCCGTGCCGCACTTACGACATGCATGCGGACGCACTGGGGACGACCAAGGCTGACGGCTTGCGGGGATGCTTTCGCTTCACATTTGCATGATGTGCATTCGTGTTTCAAGGCGTTGCCGTGGAGTTAGACCGGCGGGGTTCTAGCGAGTTACCACGTGTGGCTGGGGCGTCTTAGATGCATCCCCTGAGCGAGACTTCGTGGGGCGTTGTGTTGTGTTTCGTGGTTGGAAAGCGAACAGAGTATCACATTTTCGGCTTCTTCGCCTGCATGCCACAATGGTCTTCGCCGTTCTAAACCAGGTCATCGGATGCCTGGGCCGTCCTCACTAGGTTCCATGAATTCTACCCACTGAATGGAAGTAGTTGATAAGTGTGATTGGAATGAACTAACAGAAGCTAGACAGGTGATCTAATTGTGGAAGTAATTTTAAGCGTTCTTTACTCATTGCTCGCCATGTCTGGCTGGGTGACGGTATTGACAGTGTGCGTGTCGGCCAGGTGACGGACAGCGCGGGTCCCAGTCGGAGAGCGCCGACAGCCAGGAGGAAGAGGAGGTGGACACGGCCCGCGAGCGGCGCCCCACCAGAGGTGAGCACGCACTGCCGGCTGGCGCGCCGATGCGGGCAGAAGGCTGCAAGGCGGTGTGATGTCTGAAGGTGGCGTTGCCACTATTCGCTTTGCTGGATACAGTTTGTGTGTGCTGTGTGTAAATTTTAATGTCTTAGAGTGGTTTCTGTAAGCAGCTGTGTCAGGTGGATTAAGGATGGGCTTTTTGTTCCAGGAGGATCGTCGGAGCAACGCGACCAAACGTTTAAAAAGCCAGAACCCGAAGAAAAGGTAGGCTGACACGATATTGTCGTATGGGATACCTAATTATCGATAGATAGTCAATGCTATACAATATTTTCTTTGAGGAGCCCTCATTTCATGCTGTTTTATGTTTTGCTTCTACACACAGCTCCCAGGATATGTGCAAACGTGACCTACAAACACCTATTAGTGATGAGGCTTTTAATGTTGTGGCATTAGGCATGTCCCGCTCTAGTGTGCAATGGAGGCTATCGAGCTTTCTCAACGTTGCGCTATGGACGGATTTTGAACACAAGTCTCATGGTCCGAATTGCATCGCAGGTGGTGGTGACGGCGATGTCCCCATGTCTCCCGTCAGGCCTACGCAGCTAACTGTACATCGTGTGCCACAGACGTCGCCGCGCAAGGCCCGGCCTTCGGAGGCGGCCGAGCCGGACGGCGGCGCGTCGCCACCGGCGGCGCCGGCCGGCCGCCGCACGCGCCGCCACACCGCCTCCACAGACACGGACGGCGACGAGCCGGAGCCGCCGCCGCCGCCGCCGCGGCGGAGCCGGCGCGGCCCGCGGCCCTCCACTGACGACAGCGCCGCCGAGCGGCAGGACCCCCAGCCGGAGGAGGAGGCCGGCGGTCGGCCGGCGGCGGCCAGACGGACGCTGGCTGACGGAGGCGACGGTGATGTGCAGGAGAAACCCGCTGCCGGCGAGACGGAGGAACGGGCGGAGAAGGGGAAGGTGGAGGAGGCTGAACGGAAAAGGCGGGAAAGCAAGGAACAGGCAGAACAGATAGAGAGCAAGGAGATGGAAAAGAAGCGGGAAGAACAGAGAAAGGAAGCGGAGCGAAATGAGCGCAAGAGGAACGAGGAGAGGGAAGCAGAGAGAAGGGAGCGTAAAAAAGATGAGGACAGAAAGGAGGCGGAGGAGGAAAAGGAACGGAAGAGAGAGGAGGAAAAGAAAGAGATGGAAAGACGAGAAAAGAAAGAGGCCGGGCGGAGGGAGGATGAAGAGAGGAAAGAGGTGGAAAGGCGTGAACGGAAGGAAGCCGAACGGAAAAGGGAACAGGAAAAAGAAGCGCGAAAAAAGGAAAAGGAAGAGGCTGAGCACAGGCGAGAGGCGGAAAAGAAAGAGGCTGAAAGACGTGAAAGGAAGGAGGCGGAACGAAAGAAAGAGTTATTGAAAGAGGCTGAAAGGAAAGAAAGAAGAGAATATGAGCGGAAAAGAGAAGAAGAAAAGGATGCCGAGAGGAAATCGCGAAAGGAGGCCGAGCGGAAGAAGGAGGAGGAGCGAAAGGAAAGGAAAGAGGAACGTAGGAGAGAGGAAAAGGAGAAAACAGAAGAAAGAAAGGAGTCCGATCGCACTAAAGTGGATGAAAAGGACGTGAGAAGGACTGAGAGGAGGGAAAGGAAACACTCAGGAAAGCGAGATGCAGAGAAGAATGATGAGGCTAAAGAATCAGCTGATGATGGGGGAAAAGCTCGCTCCGGAGAGACGGGAAAAGTCTCCGAAAGCGAGGCAAAAAAGGAGGGGCCCTCCAAGAAAGACGAGGTACCGCAGAAAATTTCGCCCACTACGGTTGGAGGAGATGTGCAACAAGTTAAGGAAAAGAAGTCGATAAACAAGGATGAGTCTGGCGTTACAGAGCCAGAAGTGACGGGAACAGACAGTACATCTGTCACGTCGGACCATGACCAGCCGCCGGAGAAAAGCCTGGGGAGGCGTCGGTCTGACCCCACAGCAGAAGGCTCAGGCCCAGCGAAGCCCCCCGGCAAGGGAGACGAGGAGTCGCAGAAGAACAAGGAGTCTCAGAGGGACAAGGAGTCCCAGAAGGATAAGAAGTCTCTGAGCGATAAGGCTGAGGATGAACCCACAAAGGACAAGGAGTCCCAGAAGGACGAGGAGTCCCAGAAGGACGAGGAGTCCCAGAAGGACGAGGAGTCCCAGAAGGACGAGGAGTCCCAGAAGAGCAAGGCCGCTCACAAAGATCCCGAGAAGGAGAAGGAGTCTCAGAGGGAGCCACAGAAGGCGGCCGACGCCGGCGACGAGCGCAGGCGGTCGCGCGCCGACTCTGCCGAGCGGGCAGCGCCGGCGCCACCGGCGAGACTCGGAGGAGCGGCGTCGGCGCCGCTCGCGCGACAGCGGCGAGCGCGACTCGGCCGAGCGCGGCGGCCGCCACGAGCGGCGCCGACGCCGCTCGCGCGACGACGAGCGCGACCAGCGGCGCCGCCGCTCGGGCGACGAGGAGCGGCGCCGGCCGCACCGGCGCTCCGAGCCCCAGCGGCCGCGCGCGGGCCGTGACGAGCCCCGCGACGATGAGTGGCGCGAGAACGCCGACTTCTGGCGCGTCAAGCCGGCCGAGGTGGGTCGGGCGGGTCCGCTGGCGGGGGGTTTGTGCGATTTGTGGCCGCGGGTTGTGGGCTGTTAGCTGCAAACAATTCGCAAGGCATTCTGAGGTGGTATTTTGCCTTTGTGTAATTGGATCTGGCCCACTGAAACGGCATTTGTGAGTAATATCGTGATTTGTGGCGTCCCCGAAAGTCAGGTTGTCTTATTTGGCATTGTTTATCTGATCATTAGTGATGTAATGTTTCTTCAAGTTTGATGTTAGACCTCCATATCCAGGTTTCTCTTTGGTATGGAGGTCTGACATCGAAGTGGTGAAGGAAACTACTATTTTGTAAGGCAAGTGTCTATTGTGCTTGCTGTGAACCATGGGCGTTTCTGGCAATGCATAATGCCCGTTGCCCCAGTTGAGCGGCGTTTTAAAGCATGCGCGCCCACTTCGCTCACCCCTCACTGGCCTTCAGCAAGTACGGCTGCCATGCCAACACCCGGAGGACGCGCCCCCTCAGCTTGGAGTCGAGGCCCCTCTCTTCCATTCCCCTCCCTCACCACCGTAGTTGGATGGAGCCGGTGTCGACCGCTGTGTTGGCCCGTTTGCCACTGACGTCAGTTAATTTGTTTCTTCTTCAGGGCGAACGAGACCCCACCTCCAAGAAATCGGCGGACAAGCGTGACGCCAAAGACGAGGAAGATACTAAGTCCGACACCAAACGCACGAAAGATTCCGACGAGGGGCCAGTCAAAACAAGCCGGACAGAGCTTGACGAAGTACAACCTTTGAAGAAAGAGGAACGGCGCAAGATAAAACTGAAACGCAACACAAGTGCCGGAGAAAAACGGTGAGCTCCTTCGATCGCTGATTAATCAGTGACTTGGCGGTTCTTGAACACACGCTTGGGTGGGGGGGGGGGGGGGAGGTCAAATTGACCCCCCCCCCCCGAGGTTTTCCCGGAATGGTTTCCGAACGGCGCGACGTAGCCGCGTCAAATTTTGTATAGCTGTAGACAATTGAATAGCGGACTGCGGTGCGCGCCCTTCCTGCCAGGGTGAGAGGCAGGCGACGCCACATAGCCTCAGCAGCTGATTTTGTAAAGCCCCAATGGCACACAGTTGACTAGCGGATCATCTGACATCAAAAATTTATATATACCTTGTAGGGTCACTGACCTATGGCAGGTCAAAGCAGGCCATGGTTTCAGCAAAGGCACGTTCTAGGGAGTCGTTCAATCCTATCAAACAGCAGAGTGTTAGATGAAGCGATGCATCTCTGAGATACTTTCTTAGGCAACACAACAATTGCATAAAAAAACATTAACTTAGGTCAGGTATGAAGGTCAGACCGAGGTTAAAACCAACTTGTTTTATTACTCTTGGGCTTGCTGTATGGGTTGGCTTCTGGTGCTTATTTCGAATACATTGATAGCAGGAGCCGCATTATACACCTTCCATAGACTTCTTACAGGTGAGAATAGGTCACTGCCTAAAATGACCTAGGTCAGCATTTGTTTTTTAGGAGCATACTGCCTAGCATTATCTTTGTTGCTTATCTAAATGCACAACTCAAAACAGTCGTAGATCGTTTTGGCCATCATGACCTTTAAAAGGTAAAACAAGGTCACTGACCTTAACCGAACGTGTGACATTTTGATTAGAACAGTTGCCTAGGTTTTTGGGGGCCCTTTGAAGACCAATCTGGAATTTGACCTTGGTTAACCCTATCTGACCCGAAAGTCATGACCTAGGAACTTCAAACTTTGACCTAAGTGAGTTCACGTACAGTTCAACACACCCTGTGAATTTTGTCTCTAGCTCTTTTAGTTCCCGAGATCCAGGGGGGAGGGGTCAAATTGACCCCCTCCACCCGAGCGAAGGGTATCCAACCGGCCACCCGGGCGCGTGTTAAAAGGTCAAACAATGTCATTGACCTTGACGGAGCGTGTGACATCTTTCTTAAAACAGTTGCATGGGTTCTATGGGCCGTTTGGAGACCAATCTGGGATTTGGTATAATTTGACCTTGTTTGACCCGAAGGTCATGGCCTAGAAACCTCAAACTATGACCTAAGTGAGTTCCTGTACAGGTCAACACGCTCTGTGAATTTAGTGTCTCTAGCTCTCTTAGTTCCTGAGATCTCAGTGGGGGTCAAATTGACCCCTCATCCTCACCCGAGCGAATAGTATCCAACCGGCCACCCGCGCGCGTGTTAACCTTAGTTTTAACGAAACTTCAAACAGCCAGGTCCTTGCATTCGCCGCGGATCGCTACGTTCAGACAGACCCTGATTAGAGTGGCATTTCCGCTCTGCTATCATGGCCTGACCGCGGGGACTCCACCAGCTGCGGACGCGACGTGAACACGCATGTAACGCGCTTATCCCACGCACACGTGCTGATATTGGTGAGCGGGCCGACGGGCTGCGACCGTGACCCACGCCATGCCGTCCTGTTCCAGGCCGGAGCCCACCGAGGCGGCGCCGGAGCCGGCTGGGGACGCTGCGACGGAGCGGCGCTCACCCAAGAAGGCCGGCCGCGCCAGGTACGGCGTCGCGCGCGCCATCCCCCCCGCGCGGAGCGTGGCGCCCGGCACCAAGAGCGGTCACCGTCACCGCGCTCCGCGTCGGCCTGTGCCGCCTCATCACTGAGCTGACACAAAGCTAGCCATCTGACTGGAATAGTATTTTTGAATTTGGCACTTTAAGACCGTGACGGCGGCGACATGTTTCGTTGGTCGGCGTAGCTTGCTGCTCCTCTGGGTGCATTTAGCAGCTTTGACTTTATTGTATTTTTGAGGTATTGGTGTGCCCGCCATTAGGACCCCAGGTGCTCCCTACCTGTGATTGCAGCCCATAGTGTTGACTTACAAGGATGTCAGACTGCTTACTGCAGTTTGCGCTCATGGTAACGTATTCATGTTGTGTCCGCTGTACGCACGTAACTTTACAAGAGCCCTGGTGGATGCCGACGGAGGTCGGAATCAGTCGTTTTCCGTTGTGTTCGCCCAGAGCGGGTGTATTGGTCTGGGTGGGCCTTACAACAAATTATTGGCATCAGCGTCGTGCTCGCCCAGCCCGAGTGGTGGCGCGTGCCGCGGCCCCGCTCTGGTCGTGCTGACCGGCCTGGGGCGCCGCCAGGTCGACCTCCAGCGACGGCGAGGCGGCTCCGGCGGGCCGACGCCGCCGCTCGCCCGTGCAGGCGCCGCCGGCCGCCGCGCCGCGCAGTCCCGAGGCAGCCGAGCCGGCAGCAGATCCGGAGTCGGAGCGGGAGCCCGAGCGGGAGCCGGAGCCGGCCGCCAGCAGTGCGCCGCCGGCCCGCTGCCGACCCGCCTGCGCCCGCCTTCAGACGGCTCGGTGAGACTGCTTGGATGAGGCGCACGACGGTCGGCTCACCTGTAGCCTCCCTTAAAAAGACATTTAATGGTACATTTGCGGGATAATTTTCGAGTTCTCTGTTTTTGTAGAATTTGTTCCACGAAGGGAAATGTGAGAATGACAACTGCAAATCACAAATTTACCAACCTACATGCAAATTTTAAAAATCGCCGGAGGAACTTCTACGAACAACATTGTTATGTTGTGAACGGCCTGCTCCCACTCCTGTGCCCCACCCCGGCGCCGCCTGTGCAGGAAAAGTAAGAAGTCTCCGTAGAGCTCAGTCCACGGGGCCCTTTCATCAACGTGTCCGTTAGCACAACTGGATAAAAGGGAACTAGGGCAAAAACCAAAAATTCGGACCCAGCTCGAAACCTGGGGAATTTTTTCCCTCGGGGCTTTCACCAAACTGGGCGTCTCCGTCCCTCTCCCCTCCCTCATTCCCCCAAGATTACCAAAATTCCGGATGAGTATGGCTTTGTTTGTCTGGCTTTCTGATTCCACACCGAGTTTTTTTTTTGATGACATGACATTTGTCGGCTTAAGAGGAAAGAACAGTTTTGCCCGTCAGTTTTGACAAAATGCAAATATATCATCGTCATCGCAAACATCCAGTTTGTAAAATGCACGGCGCGGAGCCAGGCGCGTTGTTTGCTAGGCCAGGGCTCCAGCGACGTCAAGCCAACGTTGGGCGAATGGGACGCCCGAAAGTGGGACGGTCACGCCTCTTATGTACCTTGGAAGCATCGCTGATTGCCGGCAACAAATTGCGCGGCGCCGAGTGTTACAACTGCGACTTTACAACGTGTGTGGCGTTCCTGGAACAGTTTAAGTTGTGCTTTGCAAGCTCAAATGACAACTTACAAACGCAAACGGTTTGTAACAAATCTTTGGAAGAAATGCCTCTGGCGTTGTGCTTTTCGCTGCGTCGTCACAGACACAATCACAAAGCGACGTAAGTTCTAACTTTTCGTAAATTCGATCCGCGGACGTGCTAGGCGCCAGCTGTCGTGGATGAACAAGACTTTCCTGGTCTTTTATTAAGTGTGGCGTAGTACCGAGACATTGGTGTGGCTTCGTCGCGAGCTTGAGCGTGGACGGAAGTGACCCGCACCGCGCGGGCGGCCGGCCTCTAGCCTGACGCGACCTGGCGCCGGCAGTGTCGCTGAGGCGGGACCGCAAGCGGCGCGAGGACAAGGAGAATGACGCCGGCCCCGGCGAGAAGCGGCGCCGTCGCTGGGGCACGCAGCTCTCCGACGAGAAGAAGGTGGTCAGCATCTCGACCGACTCGCTCAAGGTGAGGCGCCGCGCCCCCTGTCCCCCGGCGCGATTCGGGAGATCTGGTGCCGCTTGCGGCGCTGCCTTGTTGGCAAAGCTTCGGTCCGGCGCTGCTTCCGCCGGCTGTCGTCTGTGTGGTGCTGGATGAAGCGCGGCGATTGGAGTTTTCTGTCGTGGCTTTGCAGGCTTTTGCTGTCGTGACGTTCAATTGTCGGACGGAAAACTCCATCCAAGGGGCTCAGAAGTTCGGATTGTGTGCGTTGGACAATTTTGGACATTCATCAATACCACCAGATCCGTTCGGATTTTGTGATATTGATGAATGCAAATGTTCGACAGTAGTAAGTTGTCCAATTGTGGTGGAACACGTTAGCGAAGAGGGCTGGTTGGCGAGCCGCCAATATGTAACTGGTTTGTGGAGGCCCCACGCGCACTGACGGCCTGTGCGCCGCCCCCCGCCTCGTCAGGACCTGGTGCCGGACGTGAAGCCGCTGCCTGCGGACGACGTACGGCTGGAGCCGGACTCGTCGGAGGGCGAGGTGGACTCTGAGCCGGCGCCGGGGGCCGAGCGGGGCAGTCCGTCGCCGGCCGATGCCGCCGGCGCCGGCAGTCCGGCGGCGCCCGCCGAGAACGGCCGGCCGGTCACGCCGCCGCCGCAGGAGGAGGGCCCCGGCGCCGCCGCCCCTTATCAAGCGCACCGTCAACGCAGGTGAGGCGGCGCGGCGGTCCGGTGCCGGCCCGCCGGTCCGGCGATGTGGTCCAGGGCCCGGGCGTCACAGGGCCCGGGCCCGGGACGGTCACAGGGGTGGGGGCCGCCTCCGAACGCCCCCGAGCCCTCCATCTGGCAGTCAGCCACTATGCTGGGCTGGAAGACATTGCCGACGTGTGTGCTCAGGTCCAAATTGTCCCGTCGTCGTCATATTCGGCGTGTTGGAAACGCTCGTCTTTGTGGCCCGTCGGGCGATCCTGCGCTACGACGTTTGATTTGCTCCGTGTTCTCCACGCCACTTGTTGTCGTCTGCCCATGCCCGCACATGTGCTCTCGAGCTGCGTATTGATGTGGCGCTCAGCCCTCCGGTATCCACGCGTCGTGATGTTTGCGTGTGTTGGTGGGTGTGGCGTGAAGTCCCTCGGCGACCACCGGTCCGTCCCGCGGTCGGCGCCGGAGCCGACAGACCACCGCTGTGCTGTCTCCGCCAGGATGTGCGCGGCGGTGGAGGCGGCCGCGCGGAGCCGGCGCGGCGGGCCGCGCATGGAGCGCCAGCCGTCGCCGGCCCGGCACAAGGCCTCCAGCGTCGTCCTCATCCGAAACCTGGTGCGGCCCTTCACCGTCAATCAGCTCAAGGAGCTGCTGGCCAGGACAGGCAAGATCACAGACTTCTGGATCGACAACATCAAGTCCAAGTGCTATTGCCAGGTGGGTGGGAGACGTGGGAGGTCTGGAACAGGGCTTTTGTGGTCCTTTTTAGCCAGTGTGATGTGGTTAAATACAGGCTTGTCCGTGCTTGTGGAATGGTGTCGGAACGTATAGGGCGTGGAAGGCTGTGGTCTCATGCGATAGGAAATACCGCGGACTTCCCACGGTGTGGGAGCTTGCGTTTATCGTTGTTCCACACCCAGTCATCGGCGGGTTGCTACTTGGCACAACAGGAGTGAATTTAATTGGAGAGACCAGCGCGTCAATACACACGGGGACTAGTCCTGGTAGAATTCAGGCTCCCTTTGATTACCGATTCACGATGTAGGCCATAGGTCTCACGAGCGCGGTGGCTCGAGTTTGGAGGCCGCTGAGCCCGGCGACTCGGGTTTGGAGACTGCTGAGCCAGGCGGTTCGAGTTTGGAGACCGCTGAGCCCGGCGCGCCCCCGCCCGCAGTACGAGACGGAGGCACAGTCGGTGGAGACCCGGACGGCGCTGCACGGCGTGCGCTGGCCGCCGTCCAACCCCAAGAAGCTGCTCGTCGACTACTCTACCGCCGACGAGTTGGACTTCCACAAGGCGCTAAACCGAGCAGATCCCGCGCAAGACCGAGCCGCTCAAGGTCTACCCGTACTTCGCCACGCGCCAGCAGGAGGAGCAGCGCGCTGAGACGGCGCGCGAGAAGCGGGTTAGTGGCCGGGCCAGCGGCGCAAGCGAGGCGCTCGGTCGGCGGGGGCAGTCTCGGGCGTGGCGTGTGGGTCTCGGGGCGTCGGCAGACGACTCCCAGCAGGCTCAGTGGTGGTAACTATGGTTCGTCGGTATGAGCTGTTGGACGTGGGCGGGCCGGCTGACTGGGAATCTCGCCGTTTTGTAAGTCAGCCCATACATGCTTTCTACTGTGACCGAGTTGTTTTGCGTTAACCATTTTCATTCCATGCAAGGCCCAAACCGAACCGAAGTAGTTAGTTTTTACGTCTAATTTTTCGTATGACATTTTACCTCGTGACGCCCGGTAGTTACGCTGCTCCTGGCCGCTAGTCATGTCAGCTGCAGATTGCTTATCTGCGCACCGCATGATACATGTTTTGCGTCAAGTCCCTCCCATACCGTACTTCACTCCGGTCCCCGCCATAGGTCCCCTCCCCAGGTCTGCTTCACGCAAGCGGTCAGGTCGACGGATGGAAGTGCAGGGCTAGTCTGTTGTCCGTAGTCCGCGCATCGCCTCGTCTCACCGCCCCGCGACGGAGCGGGGGGGGGGGGGGGGGGCGTCAGCGCGGCCGCGCGGTTTTGACTGGCGTCTGGCGCTCTGGCCCGGCAGCGGGAGGTGGTGCGGGAGTGGGACCGCGTCAAGATCGGCGAGACCAGTCCCGGCGAGAAGGAGCGCGAGCGCGAGCAGCGGCGCCGCGAGCGCGAGGAGGAGGCCGAGCGGAAGAGGAGGCGGAGCAGAAGCGCCGACAAGGAGAAGGAAGAGAAAAAGGGTGGGTTGGTGACGGTGCTCGCCGCAGTTGGTCATGCGCGGGCGTCCGGTGTAGTGGAGTTGTCACTCACATCCACACGAGGAGCCGCCAAATCGACGTATGAACAGACACGTTAGCGTTGCACGATGTATTGATGGACAAGTTTGGAAGGTGGACAGTCTTTGTGGGGGAGGGGGACATTAGTGTGGTGACCGGCGAACAATGGAGTTGTGGTCCAATGTATCGAAATGTGCCCAGTTACGCCACATGTTGCATTGACTCAGGTCCGGTTGACACTTTCTTTCAACGGCTCTAGGACGCGACAACGGTTGGGACATGCTGAGGCGTGGAGGCCCTCAGCAGTGTCATATGCAACGACGTGGCTCGGTTCCTAACTGCTGATCTCTCCGGCTCCCACAGAGAAGCGGCAAGAAGGAGGAGGCGCCGGCCAAGCTGCTGGACGACCTGTTCCGCAAGACCAAGGCGACGCCGTGCATCTACTGGCTGCCGCTGACGGCCGAGCAGATTGCCGACAAGGAGCGCCAGCGCCGGCTGCGCATGGCCGAACGCCAGAAGCGGCTGGACGCCATCCAGGCGGCGTCGGCGGCGTCGGCTCCGCGCCGCAGCCGCAGCCGCAGCCGGTCCGGCTCGCGCGAGCGGCGCCGCCGCTAGCCGCAGGCCGGGCGGGTCTGCCGTGGACCGTCTGAGCACGCGGCCCAGGATCGACCGGCGCGACGCCCGATAGGAGGCCCCAGCACACCAGTCGCCGCCCACCGCACTGTAATTCCTGGTTCATTTTATTAGTCTAGCCTCCGCGCCTGAGCACGTGCGCGCGTGAGTGTGTGCGTGTGTGTGTTCAGACGATCGTTCCCGAGCAGGTGAGTACGTCTTAGTTTGACGCCGTTCGCCCGCCGGCCGCCGGGCGGCCGGCTCGGCGGGCGCCTGACCGTGAACCATTTTCAGGGCCGGACGGCGGCGCGATGCAGGTGAGTCTCCGCTGAATGACCGCTGATGTCCCGTTCTCCGCCAGTAGGTGGCGGCCTAGCGGGGTGAGAGCGGCCCGGGCGAGAGCGGCCAGTGCGCGCGCGTGACATGTTGTGGCCGGCGGGCGGTTGTGGCGACGCGCGGGAGCGAGAGGACAGGGGCGCGGCCGGCCGCGGATGGCCACGGCGGCCCGGCCGCGCCTGGCCGGGCCGCCGCCGGTGGCCGGCCGGCCGCGCCGGACACGACGCCTGCGGGCGCGAGCAGCGCAGAGTGACCGCCGCGAGGCCGGAGCCGGAGCCCGACGGCGGCGCCTCGCCTCTGCCGCGGCGCCGTCGACGTCCAGCCGCCAAGGACGGCGGCGTCGCGCCCTCCTTCGAAGCGGTGCTGCACCGCGGCCTCCCCGGACGGGGACGCCGCATCCAGCAAGACTCGCCAGCACCAATCGTCCCGTGGTCGATCTATTTACATGGAAATAAACGTCATAGTTCAACGACAATACATTGTCCGTACACGGTTCGCGGGTGAGGCTCCAGAAAACCTATAAATGGGGTGGATTCACACGTCAGTGGTGGGTTCACAGAGGGTTTGCCTGTGCATCGCGCAGTCGGACCAGGCCCCGGTCACTATTGGATAGTTGTTGCGGCAGTGGTGCACACTGCTCGCTCCCGCACCCCGCTGTCTGATGCATTCGCGTCCGCTGCATTGCTGTCCGAGGGACGTCGGCTAACTAGGAATCACCTGAAAAGGAGAGCCACAAGTCAGCGGCCATGGGGAGCGGGGGCGTCGCTGTTGGAACGAGGCTCACGTGTGTTGCCGTTGGGATTAAATGACACTGGCTGGCTTTTGGTGGGGAATTGCGGCCTTTGGGTCCACATCTGAGAGACTTTGTTGATTACAGTTCACGGGCGCACCGACTGCGGTGGTCATTTGCTTCCGGGTACACGAGACTCAGATGTCCTCATCTGGGGACTAGGGCATCTGGGTCTCGTGTGCTCGGAAGCACGTGATGTGTGTGTATGGATACATTACGGTCGCTCCGCGTGCTCGAGGCATTCTAACTGTAATCACAGCGATAGTGACCAATGGCTAAAAAATGAACCGGCGCAACGCTCTGCACTCATTTCATGACATGCGTGCCTCTGGCTTACCTAGATCAGTTCTTCTTGTACTTGTCCGTGAACTCCTTGACCTTGTCCCACAGTTCGGTGGGGTCGTCCACCCGGGTATCTGCAATCGGGACAGGACTGTGGGGGCATGCCTCCTTAAAAGGTGGCATGATCTGTGAAAATCTGTGAAAATTGGCTGGTAAACTGGAGGTAGAAAATGCGACGACCAGCCCCAAATGTGCGAAGTAAAGCAATCGCCGATATTGGGCATTAAGTGTGGACGATTGTAAGCAACATTGCATCAAATGAGTCGTTCGGCGCGGCGTGTGTTAAAGTAGACACACGCAGTTTTTTTGTAACGTCCCCATACAGTTTCCACCAAAAGGCAGTGGTACCGCCAGCGACGGGGATTCGGGATTGGCAGAGGTTACGCCACGGCAGATATGCGCGATTGGCCAGAGCAATCCTAGCCCCACGCACCGCATAGTTTTGCAGACGTAGACGCCCCGCGTACATGCCGGCACCGAAGGACAACTGGAAACGGAACGCGGTCGGTTAGCTAAGCTTGCCGCCGTCGACGCACATTGTCACGCAATGCGCGGACACGGGAACAATGCGCAGCAAGGAGCACTGAAATGCCAGGTTTGTCGCAGTGAACACCCGGTTGGTGGGCAGTTTTCGAATGAAATAAGCGTCCTCCGTGTTATCCGTACGGGTAACGGTACAGTAGGCTGTGAATAATCACTGCTCATTCTTTCGGACTGGGAGGGAGAGGTCAACGCAATAGCTTCCAGAATGCGTATGTATGGACGCCAAGGCATTACTGCGAACCCGCCGGGTTACCAGAAAATGGGAGCTCAGCGATTACGGGCAATTCAGCACAAAGCCGGACCCACCCAATGCGCGTCTAATCAGTGGCAGATTGCTTGGATCGGAAGGTCAAACACGCCAAGGCATACAGTGCTCTACGGGGGGAAGCGGCTCGCCGCGCAGGGACTATTTCGGGCCCAATGGTCAGCATCAAGCTCGAGCACATGGTACCACAACACATAGAGCCACTACAAAGTCGGTGATTCGCAGCGCAGCTGTAACGTAACGTGACACCACGGGCGCCTCGGATACGTGAACACATTCCTGTCACACCAGGACGACACAAGACGACGCCGACAGCAGTGCGGCCTCCTGACACCAGCCGACAATAGATCGAGTCGTTACACCGCTCAGCGATGTGCGTCTCCGCCCCGACAATGTTCACAGCGCGACGATGGCGGCAGAGGAAGAGAAAATGGCTTCTTACTGCGCCACCTACTAATAAATGGGCGGCAATGAAGCCGACCATGACCAGGTCGTACAGGAGGACGAGCATCCTGCCACGGCCAGGTCACCGTCCGTCCATGGTCTCGACGGGTCAGCACGGGTCAGCACGGGTCACCGGCGATCAGCGGTCGCTCCGCTGTGCGCTCGCGCCGGGAGACCGTCACAAAGCCGCGCGCCACAGTGGGCGGCAGCCGTTCTGACCCCGCAAATAGCCTGGCCGTCGGGCCACGCTGCCAGAAAATGCCCGCCGACAGCGCCCGCCGTCGGAGGGCGCTTCCGGCACCGCGAGTGTCTGGGGCTCGGTAATGAACCGGCGGACGACGTCCGGGGGTCGGTCCTGAACCGGCAGACGGCGTCCGGGGCTCGGTAATGAACCGGCAGACGACGTCCGGGGCTCAGTAATGAAACGTCAGACGGCGTCCGGGGATCGGTACTAAATCGGCAGACAGCGTTCGGGCCTCGGTACCGAACTGGCAGACGACGTCCGGGGCTCGGCACTGAACCGAATGACGGCGTCCGGGGCTAAGTAATGAACCGGAAGACGGCTCGGTACTGAACTGGCAAACAAAGTCCAAGGTGCGGTACTGAACCGGCAGACGACGTCCGAAGCCAGGTACTGAACCGACAGACGGCGTCCGGGGCTCGGTACTGAACTGGCGGACGGCGTGTGGGGCTCGATGTTGAACCGGCAGACGGCGTTTGGGGCTCGGTGTTGAACCAGCAGACGGCGTCCGGGGCTAGGGACTGAGCCGGCAGAAGGCGACCGGCGCCTTCCTTGAACTTGGTCTCCTGTTTCTTGTCCCTTTCCACCTCTTCTCTCTTTAGGCTGACCATCTCCTTAAACGACGTGAAGGAATGCGCTTTTGCTAGCATTCTTCAGCGCCAGGGTCCTCTTAAGAATGAACGATTCGCTTGCCCTCGATCACTTCTGCAGTTGGTGCACCCGTGGGTCAATCCTGCCCACCAATTGCTCCACGTCCGTGTTGTGCACGATCGCATCGTTTGGCATGTTGACCTGCTTCCCAACCGAGATCTCAATGGGGAACGCCTCTTCGTCCAGCCTGTATTCTCGTCTCCATTCGCCAGGGTGACGCCCAACTCCCACAGGACCGTAATAATCAGAAGCATTCCTCCGGCTCAAGAGCTATTGACACCACGGACTGCTGCACAGCTCGTCTGTAGCTTTCCTTCACAGCGCTGAAGAGGTTCTACGATACACCATGCAAGAACGTCTCATCCAGCAGGATGCAGGAGCTGTCCACGCCGCTGCTCTCCACGCTCGTGTAAGGTCTTCATCTCTGTGCACATCGCCCCAAGAGCGATCGTGCAAAGAACGGCTAGATGCGTGTCGAGCAGGGCAAACGCCGCACACGCCAAACTCAAGTCCGGCAGATTGGGCAGCGTATCAGTATCATTGGGGCTTTACAACGCACTCAGCTGCTGAGGCTACATGGCGTCAACTGCCTCACTCTGGCAGGAAGGGCGGAATCGCAGGGAATCGAACCCTGTACCTCTGGTTTCCCAGACGTGCAGTGGTTAACGCAGACGCCGTAACCATTACATTACCGGCACCCTGATTGAGCAGCTTCCTCACCAGGCCACTGTCGTGCCAAAGGCGATCTACCTGAGCGAAAGGCCGATGAAAGATAGCGGATTACCGGACGTTTGGGGACAGGCTCAGAGAACTGGTGGAGCGCGACCCCGCAAAAACTGCCTGTCTGACAGATAAGGTGGATTCCAGTTGCCTGAATTGTATGCTACCGTGGATATCTCAGACCTTGGTGGATTTAGTCAACCCGGCACCACTTGAGAAATCCCCTGTGTCCGCCACTTGGGTGGTTAAAAGAACACTCCTGTTGCTCGGGACCTAATTGTCGCACTCCACATGTTCCAACATCATTCGATATTCTGACTTTTTCACCATTGTAGCACTGTACTGACACCGGTCATATGCCTGAAGACGACGTCACAGGTCAGTTGACACCCAGCAAAGCTCAAGAAGATTGCTGGAAACTTAATATGTGGTAGACACCAGTTTCGAGGTGGGAGGGGTAATTTCGGAAAACGGGACAATGTTCCTGTAAAAGTTTCTTATTTTGGTCAAGGACGGAGGTTCGCAGATCCATTTTTTCGACTTTCGATGGTTGTAGATTTTAACATAAAGGCTACCAACCGGTAGTTGCCTGTGGTCTACAAGTGAAACCGCAGATAGAAGTCAGAACTCAATATTGGAGCGACACATGACGTCCAGAACTGACTGCTGATTTCGTATACGGCGTCCAAATGTTCGATAACGGAGGCAGCAGATGGCGTCAGGAACTGAGGAGCGAACTAGCAGATGGCGTCCAGGGTTCGACACAGAAACAGCAGAAGGTGCCAGGAACTGAGTACCGATCCAGCAGATGGCGTCCAATGTTTGGCACAGAAACAGCAGAAGGCGCCAGGAACTGAGGACCGAGGCGGGAAAAGATGTGCCCGCGCTGGTTGACAATATTAAATTACTGTACCACAAAAACGGTCGATTTTGTTCAGCTATATTGAGTGGGTCAGAAAACCCCATTAAAAGAAGTTTGCTTGTCTGCTTGCTTGCTTGGTGGAATGGAATTCATGAATTTCTGATGATCGTAGAGCAACATGCTGAGCAATTGCTCAATATAATTAATAAGTGATTTAACAGCACATAGGCTGTTAAGAATGCAAGAAATGATAAATTTATGTTCACCACCATACACTACATATAATAGAATATGTCTGATGCTTAAGGAATCAACTTTCCCAGCAAACACAATTTGGTGCAGGGACAATCTGACAAGGAAGTTTGTGACATGGATGAATGTCCAAGGGAGGAATATAACCTCATATTTAATTTATATGGTGCTTAATATAAATCAGTTATATGGGTCATCACATAGCCCAAGCACCGCACCAGGTGGACAGGACTGGTGCCGCACCAACTTCCCGGGCTTCTGGAAGATGTACGTAGCCAGGAACAGCCTCGACATGTCGCCGACCGAGAATCTCTGGGGCGACTGCCAAGGAGGAGCTCAGCAAGATGTTGCTGGCCGCTTCAGAGAACACCCTGTTCCAAACGTGCAAGCGGCGTGGCGGAGCGTCAGTGCATAGACTCTCGACAACCTGATGCCGGAGCGCATGCGACAGTGCATACGACTGCATGGAGATTACATTGACAAGTAAATCATCAGCTGGTCTCAATTATCTTCTCTGTTAGTTAGGACGACGCAACCGCTCATCACCTTCGGGACACACTGTAACTGACAAATGGATGGAAACATGAACAAGTAACCACGTTAAGCGTAGTTGGTGGCAAGTTACTCAAGTCACATTTTTTTAGAGACGCAAAACATTGTGCCTGATAAATGCTTGCGAGGAAAGCAAGAGTACAACACGTCTTGCTCCACCAAAACTTCACTTGTCCGAATCCAAGATGACGTACGTGCCGGCGGCGCGGGGATATCCAACTCTATAGAAGCTACTCGGTATAGAAACAGTCGTGATATCCAATAATCATTCAGTTACTGAATCCGTGAAACCCATCGTAACTTAGGTACATCGTAACTTAGGTGTTCTTAGGTATACTTAGGTGTCTCTGGAGTCACATTCCTCAGCAGTTAGAATTTAGTAATTTCGCGCCGCTTCAAGGTACTCAAAACGTTCTGGTCGGGAATCAAGGACCACTGCCACAATTTGTCGGAAATCTAAAAGGCGTTGGTTGCATTGCATCGGACAGGCTCGCATTAAAATACCGTCCCTGGGAGGCAGTGGTAAAAGCGTTGCCTTCCGGGTACTCATCATACGTGTGGATTGCACGCGTGGGGCGCGTGCGTTGGGGCTGTTGTGTCGCATAAAAGTCGCGGTCACGCGTTTCGCATCGATCCGCCGCGTGGACCGCGCTGCTGGCCGTCCGGCCGTCTTGTGGCGCTCCTCTCCGACCCGCCAGCTGACCCGAGGGTCAAGCGCCTCCGGGTGACTGGAGGCCGTGATCCGGGGCACGTCCTGTTACGGGTCGGTCCTGGCGTATGCTTCCTTTGCGTGGCGTGGAGGGGAGGGCCCTAGTCCGAAACATGCATTACATGACTGGCTTATTTCCATGTAAACGATGCACATTTTTAACTTTTTTAACGGGTTTAACGGTATTAATGCCAGAAGCATGCCACGTCAAAATCTACCAACAACACTTTCTTTGCCGCTTGCAGCCGCACAGACATTGCAAAAATGGCGTCACGCAATGTCGCTTGGGTCAGTATGATTTAGGATCCGTGGACATATTTCTGCTTCCGCCTTTTAACCACTCAATTTAAAGCTAGCGACCTATACACCTGCAACATTCTACTAGTTTCATCGTGCGTAAGTCAACGATTCAAAATGTGTTGTGCCTGACTTCGGTTTGTATTCAGTGGTCCACTTTAAGTTGTTTTGGCCACATCCTCTCCGAAATACTTAGCTCAGAGAGGTGGGAGCACATCAGACTCCGGAAAGAATGCGCGCGCGCAATGTACATAACTATTTACTACTCCTTGGAATGCACGATGCGTAAAGGGAGATGGCCTCCTGATGAAAAAGAAGAATGTTACCATGTTGCCGACCTTTCTGAACCACTGCTTGATACAGTATGTCCGGAGAAGAGATAGAGACCATGCAGACAAACTCTTGTGATCAAAATGATACAGCAAATGTGAAAAACTACTCAGTGTATCCAATCAATACAATGTATGCTTTCAATGGTGTGAAATCATACAGCTTACCAAAACTTAATCATTGCTATGGATGTAGATGCTTGAAGTTGATTCAACACCTGAAATTAAAACAGGGAGTTATTCAGGTCACTGGATGTTACCAGCCACCTACATGTTATTCATCATGTGACTGGCCACTTCTGTGCAAAACATGTCACCATCAGGTGTGTCAGCACATCACCTGGAAACCATCACCCTCTCGAGACAGGCCTCACTGATTGGAGGAACAACCTGTGGATCATGCATTTATCTGTATTTGGAACTGGACTGGATCTAAAAATATTATGTAACACATGTCAGGCCTGGACTACCAATATCAAATTGTTGGTCAAAACATACTAAAATTGATTTCAAAACATGATGGGTTGATGCATTCATTGTGATACACATGTCAACACAAGTTTTGACTGAACTGAACCACAGCTATTAAACAAGGTGCATCCCATTGGTAGTTTTCAAGTTGCCAACTGTTCAAAGCATTTTGGGGGTTAAATATTATGTTTATTATCTTCAGCATGCTAGCAGAGAGCTTATAGATGTTAGACAGATGGGTGTGCTAGACAAATACCACCTATCACAGGGTTCTCCATGATGGCATCATTTGCATCAACCCCACCAGAAAACAGCCCTAGTTAAACCAATATGTGATATATCATGGTGACCTGTATGAGCCACCCATAAGAAATGCTGGAACAGGACATTTTGCACTGTTCCCTCTCTAAGCTTAGCATTTCATTGGAAGGTATCTGGAGGTACAATGCATACTCTGTACAATGCATTCACTATAAGCAATCATGCTGGATACCAATAAACACTTAGCTGAGAGTTTTAAAAAGGGATCATATTAATGTGACTTACGATAATGAGATGTCTCTAAAGGATTGTTTTGTAAGTACTGTCTGGTGTACAGTGTCTTAATGTTATCAGTTAAGTAATGCATATTGCAGCATAAGGTACCATTGTGAACAATGACCTGGTTTGCAGCATAAGGTACCATTGTGAACAATGACCTGGTTCTTTGCAGAATAGAGCTAGAGGTGCACAACCAGCCACACAGCTATGAGGCTGTCAAAACAAAAAGACAATGGCATCCTGATTCAAAGGTTACATAACAAAAATTTCAACATCATTGGAAACCACATTTAACCTCACAAATACAGCATTCAGTCCCCTCCTTCTGTTGCGGCTTTAGTTTATGCCTCATCTCGCCCTCCCTCCATGTGTAACGTATTATATGGGCAGGCCCCATACACCAGAAGGTAATGCATACAACTGACGAACAACGCATGAACGAACTTGTTCTGGTCCTAGGGTGCTACGGTATGGTAATACCCCCGCACTTAACAAGAACTCATTCCGTAAAAATCGGCTCCTTTTAAGCCGAAGGCACCGCCGACGCTCCGTATTCACCTACTTCGATGAAAGTAGCGAAACTGAGGAATACCAAGAATCGTGGTAAGACCGTGGTGTACACTTGGACCATGACGCGACATTCTGTTATTGCTATCGAAACATAAGCGCCGTTTCAGAACTCACGTACAGCTACCAAATTTCAGTAAAAGTTTTCAACGTGTAGGTAACAGATTACGTAAGTTGTTCGGCGCATCAGCGAGGAACATTATTCACTTAGATAAGAGGTTAAAAAAGACCGTGTAAATTGACTGATGAGTGCATCTATTCTGAACAGGTCCTCTGCTTAAATCCAACACGTTATGGATGTACACAAAATGCCGCTTTTGTGTAAATCGATTCAAATCCGAGCAATTTTATACATAGACACTAGTGTAGATACCCTTTGGAGTACATGTACGCAGGCAAATTGAACATGCGAGCAAGTTAAATGGATCTGCGTGGATTTACACAGAGGCTCTTTCTGTGTACATCCAACCGGGAGTGGATTTAAACGGACGAGCTGTTCTGGTAAGATGCAATCATAACCTGTTACACACAGAAGCACCATTATGTGTAATTCAACTCGCAAGAGGATTTAAGCAGAGATGTTCTGCGTTGACGCACTCACGATGTGATATACACGAAAAAATGCTCGGTCTAGATCGTGACGTCGAGGAACTATTCAACTAGGTAGGGAGCAGCCCAACCAATGACCTGAAATCCCCCTTGCTCAGTAAACTACGAAAGCCTCCCCCTCCAGTGAAAACTTTGTTTTTCCGACAGTTCACGCCCGATCGGATCTTCGAAATAGTCCAGGGAGGGGGTGGTAGATGCATGCATTGTATGTGAGATCAAATATTATAAGGTGAGGCGGCCGTTCTTAAGGGGAAAGAAGAAAACAAAAAATAAGCTAGAGGCCTGTTTTGAAACGTTAGACAAGCCAGATAGGACCTGTCAGACATTTAGACGACGTACAGACGTGTGTGTACCCCCTGTGGTTTGTGTATATATACATATATATATATATATATATATATATATATATATATATATATATATATATATATATATATGTCTATATAGGCTATATGCTGGTATGGGTATGTACGTTCCAACGTTCTTGCCGTTGCAGACGGGACCGGTCAGCAAAATGACATTGCATGCTCTATATCTTATTTTTACGTGTATACGTCTCTTAGCTGGAATGTGATCAGTATAGTTGGTGGGCCAACATCTGGGCACGGATATTACCAGCAGGTGCCTTTCATGCCTGCGACAGTTCTGCTGGATTTTATTCTGATCGGTTCAATTTCAGGAACAGTTGCGGCCGTAAGTCAGATAAGACAGACCGCGTAAAAATGCTGCGAGTCCCGCAGGCAGGGTCAGTGCAAAATGTATAGCTTCGCACATGGCGAACGTGACATCCCGCTAGTGACATCCGATTGTAAGTGGAATCTATCATAGAACCGTGGGGTCTGTCGGCTTTGGGTTAAGATGCTTGCGTTGACGACGAACGCCCTGGGGAAATCTTGGAGGCATGATTTGTCCCTTGGTTCTCTCCGTGACATGACACTTCATGGGCCTAGGACGCAGCTGATCACTCTTAGTGCACTCATTCAACACTTGCTGCTGCGGTTTTTCCGAGTGGAGGACAGGGCGGTGCGGGGCAGATAATGGGAACAGCTTCACATGTGTCCCCTTCTTCGTTTCACCGCCCGTGCTTACTTCCTCTGGTTGCCGTTAGATTGTGATATCGAGCAATCTTTTTACAGCGCAGCTTATCACGACGGTCTGAACAAAGCATTGCCCAACCCAGTCTATATCACTCAACACCCATCCTATCATCACTGAAACACGGACAATACGCAATATTTTTAAAGCCGATGATTTGTCACTGGGACTAAACCACGTACCTATCTATCTATAAACATATATATATATATATATATATATATATATATATATATATATATATATATAATATATATATATGTGTATATATATATATAATATATACCTATATCTATATCTATATCTATATCTATATCTATATCTATATATACATAAACCACCGTACTTACCACGTACGTACTCACCACGTTCGATAATTAACTCATGTATTATTGAAAAAATACATAGCATTATCATGCACAGACAGTGGTATTGTCGTTTGGATCTTTTTAGACACGGACATGCACCCAACTGTAGCCGGATAATTTCCTTACCCACCAACACACCGGTGGCATAAGACACCGCAGTCGTGCCTTCTATATTTTTACGATGGATCAAAATGTGCAGTTTAACTTTACACGTCCAAAGCAGGGCGCGCAACTAAAACTGAAAAATGTTCATTTAAAACCGGGTCCTGTGCCGCAAATGTGTAAGATGTCTTTAAGTGCTGTGAAATAGCATGCACGTTCTCGATCTAATTTTTACGTTTCCACCTGAAATGGTTGACTGTCAGTAGTTAGTTAAGTACCTAGTGGTATGTGCGGACGTCCTGTCTCTGTGCACAATGATTTACGCGCGTGCCTCCAGCGGTTCATGATGCCGAAGTCGTATCTCTCCGCCGCCGAGGTCCGCGGCGGCCAAAAGCAAACGAGTTAACTCAACACTTGCTGCATGCATGGCCACCGAACGTCTTTGGTGCACTTTCAAAACTATGCAGTGCGGACCGGTGACACTGGAATGCAGTACTTGACTGGTTCCGTAATAACACGCAGCATTAAACGACCCCCGTTTTTGATCATGCGGCGTGCAAAAAGCCCGTGTTAAAGCTCAAACGATGGCCTTCTGCTCGGCTGTCGGTCCGTTATCACGCGCCTTCTTTTACAAGCCGGAAATTCCAACCCTTTCATGTTGTTCACACCTGTATTGTTTTCTGTTTATCTACCAATGCTACAATCTTCTAAATTACTCAGTTCCAGCCTTATCCACAATGCACAGTTTGACATATATCCACTGCTACGACATGCACAAATGTGCCGATGAGTACATCACAATGAAATGTACGTATCAACAAGTGACGCTCATGGATGCAAATGTGACATGTCGCCAATGGATTCGTCCATTTCCACACTACAATACCATGCACCACAGAGGACTTGAATTGTCCTCAGAGGGCAGTCATCTCTTCTTTTTCATGTTTTTTTTTATTTTATATTATATTGATTATAGCATATATATTATATGATATTATACTATGTCATACATATTATATTAGGATTTTTTATGTTACTCTCTCAAGCAGTTACAAAGACGGGCCAGTGATTTACAGTAGTCGGGGCCTCCGTATCTGTCAGTGGCCCACCGTGTGTAATGGGGGTACTGTATATTCGCCAGCTGACCTGAGCCGACCAAGGGCAGTGTTCCATGAGGGTTCCGAAGAGGGGCTCGGGCGGCTCACCGGAACCGGCGATCAAGGGCCCAGTTGGGAGGGCCTACGGGCCCGAAGGGTTGGCTTGAAAGGCACATGAAAATCGCGTTCCGTAGGGTCATGACCTAAAATATCAGTCAGGGGGCCTTATGTACCGTTTGAGGAACCCCTGAGACAACATGGTGTCTGAGTTGACTTGAGACCGCCAACACGAGCAATTGGCTCTCTGTCGTGCTATGACCGCTGTTCGTACCATTCAAAGGCTAGACTGGTGACTTTTTACGAATTTGAGGCTTGTCCTCTGATAACTCAGACAGATTAACAGTTACATGTCAGATCCAGACAGAGACAGAGACAGAATAACAGTTGCAGCCACATGAAGAAGAGATTCAACCTTTAACCCTTTCAGTCCCACCACCAAGATTCCAGCACCACTTCGCGGTCCTGTAAAGACTGATCCGTTTTTATCATGAATCTAAAAATCCCACAGGTGAAATATACTTTAAGGCTGGCTTCTGAATATACAATCTGATTGTCCAGCATTCAAAGGTCCTTCTTTCACCTGCGTCATTAGTTTTTGCCCACTCGGTGGCCGAGGCTCAGTGTGAGCTGTGGGTCCGATGTTGCCGCGGCTCAAGGGGACTGCAACGGTCTGGCGTCTAGTTTTTTTGTTCTGCTTAGACTTGCGAGCGCAACCTGCTCAAAACTACGTTACCACATTTATATCCCAAATCGATTCTTACTGAATGTTGATTAGTCCCAGACAAAGATGGCTTGGCCATGTTAATACAAATTGATGATCTATTTTGACCTGCAACCTACATTCGTGAAATCCTTAATATATCTGTAGAGCCCAGACAGAAATTATGACACAGCTTCGAAGTTGCCTCGGCCTGGGAAAAGTGGCACTACACCATTGTGAAATGAAGAGCGCCGGCGATTTAATGCATGCAGCTGTTCAACGTATGATTCGTTCAGTTTATTGACTGAATTTCCGGCGGATATGGATCTCACGTTAGCTTCCGGATCTTATCCCAGTTATAGAAGATGGAATAAGAGAATAGCAAAGGAAAACGAACCCTCAATAACAAGTGCGTCCTATCCGGCGATTTTCTTTTCCTGACGGGGGCTTTCACTATCAGGAAAGTCCTTTGTTAACCGTACCCCCTTTGCCAAGGCTCTGGCTGTGTGCAACCGGGCATCGGTTCTAGTTATGACGGAAATAGACTGGGAAATCGAATAACACTGGAATCGACCATGTGAATGTAAGGAACCAAAAGTATGAGCCTCGGACCCAACATGCAAGAGGAAATATGCAAGCAAGGGTCACAACTCGCGCACGTAGCGGCATCCCAGTTCTGCGTACATGCAGGGCCTACTATCTATAGGCAAGTTGAGGCAATACAACTAAGTCTGCCTGTTCGCTACGGTGGCAATTCCACACGGGCAATTTGACAGCAACTCTGACGCCATCTGAACGTTCCATTACGCAATCAAACGGTGCCATACTGAGCAAGATATTCAGCAAGCAGTGAAATTATAATGTTTAGAGCAGTCTTTTGCACTTAAATAGACCAATAGTTTTAAGTGAGCCTTTTCGGTCACTTCTGATGCATGCCCCAACATCTTTAAATATGGAAGTTAGAGCAATCCATTTAAAGTTACTGATGTGCTTGCATCAACCAGGAAGAAAAAGAATATTCCGTTGACGTCATCCATGATGCCTAGATTTTGCACGTTTTGGTGCTTAAGTGACTGGACGACAAAAATTTTACGTGACGTCACAGAGTATCTTTCTCGCACGTGCTGAATCTTGCATATGAGCTGATCTAATGTGAGACAGAAATAGCGCATCAGATTCAGTTTTTAAGAAGTCGGTTTGCGTACCGGAAGGCGGAACGACCAACGAATGATATGATAAAAAGGTGTTTCACACTTTACAAACGGCATGCTTCGCAGTTTGGCGTCAGTAAGGGGTACGCACGGTACCATATGATACCTCCAAGCGAAAACCTTTGTGTTGGGGTGCGCAGAGTTATCTTCACAACAGGTACCGAGATGTTGACAGAAAGCGCATACGGTGAACTCGTCCAGCGCAGATATACGGACGATACGTATATACAACATTCGTGGAATGCTACAAATGCACCTTACGTCTTCCAAATAATTTGCGACATCACTGGGAAATCAAACATGTAGGTTAATTTAGTGTCTTAACCTAACCTGAGCAGTCTTCAGCTGATCACTAGGCATGACTACTACTATTTTGAATGTGAGATGGTTCATCCCTGTTCTCTGATTTTTGATGGTGTTTTGAGGTCTAATAAGGAGAATTCAAATTGAATGAGTGCTTAGAATTATATATTTTATTTAACTGTACTGTAGTCTCATAAACACATCTGTCTGCAATTATTTGGTGCACAGGTTCTGATGGTCATCATGTGTAGTTACAGAACCATCAAAATGGCATTTACCAGTTGCATCCTGAAAAATGTAGACAGTGGTCAAAGTGTGAAGCTGTGTGCAGGAAGCAGTTTGTGGGAAGGTCACGAGAAACAAAATTCAAGATACTCGATGCTCTAAGAAGCAAGGCAAGTAAGATATTTGCATGCTACCTTGCATTGTTCCAGAACAACAAATAACTGAGGTATCATTAGATGTGCCTTGAGATATGACAGCTTTGTTTTTCATGTGCATAATGATGCATTGCTGATTGGTGCATTTTGTTATGATTACTTCCTCCACCCAACCCCAAATAATATTGTTTTGGGATAGTGGCTATCTTTCTGGTAGGATGATCTCATTTAGAGCCCCACCAAGGTTGTGTCATTAATGGATGACCAAAAGTTAGTGATGAAAGCACTAGCATATGTCGTGCAGAAATATGTGCATACTGTTATTTTATAGAGAATTGCTTATTTTACACTTATACCTTAGCTTTTATTACATGTGAAGTGCCTGCACCAGCAAGCCTGCCAGCTGCTGACACTTCCACCTTTGCCTGCAGTCGAGTGTGATGTGGACCTGGATGTCGGCTCCATCGCACTGCGGGTGCTCGGTGCCAACCCGTCAGCTGCCGGTGGGCTGGAGCTGACTGCCGGCCAGACAGCCACCCTCCGACATGGTGACAGTCTGCAGTGCTGAGCGGCCGACACGAGTTTGTCGTGCAGTTCAGCCCGACGCCAGGCCGAGGCCAGTCGGAGGCTGGCAAGCGCAAGTGTGAAGATGGGACCTCCGGAGAGAAGGACGGGTCCTCTCTAAAGCGGCCGCGCTCCGAGGCTACAGCAGAGGAGTCCTTTGAACCTAACATGATGGAGACCAAGGAGGAGGAGTGGACGTCGGCGGAAAACGATGGAATTCTCTTATTTCACTAAAGGAGTGAAGCCGGCTGCCAGAGTAAGTCTCATCATAGTAATGTGGTGTAAACTTGGTACTACACCATGCTTAGCATCTATTCGTCGGACTCACACTAGGTTCTTATGCATGTCGCTGCCCAAACTGGGCACATAGACACTGTGCCACTTCTGTCCATCCATTTTCATTGCGGCCTGTACATGATCGGTTTTTTTTCTAGATCGCCGCATTCGATATCGATGGTACTATTATCACTACAAAGTCTGGAAGAACTTTCGCGAAAGATCGAGACGACTGGCAAATCTGTGCTCGGAGGTTCCGGAAAGCTTAAGGAACTCGTCCATCGTGGCTTCAAGATCGTGTTTATCACGAATCAGGTAACGTACACTGCAAGTTCATCTCCATTATTTCACTTGCCAGTCCTCTTATCATTTGTGTGGGCTCCTTCAGGTTCTAATGACACAGGCCAACATTTTCTAGTCAGCGATTCAGATTTTACCGGCCACCTGTGGCGTAGAAACTACTGTGTTCTACATCGTGTGCTATCTGTTGTGTGCTAACCTCAGATAATAACATCTGTCCCGTCTGCCTCCGCGTCTTTCTGTGCGCCTTATCAAATTTCATTAACGTTGTGAAGAGCTGTGGTGTTACAGATGGGCATCAGCAAGAACAAGCTGCAGCCGGAGGACCTGCGCGTGAAGCTGCGCAACATCACGGCCCGGCTGGGCGTGCCCGTCCAGTGTCTCATCTCGCCTGGCGACCGCTGGTTCCGCAAACCCCGGCCCGGCATGTGGGAGTACCTGACCACAAAGGTCCGCCTCCAGCAACAACCGCTGTCGCTGCTGTTGTCGTTACTCTCGGTCACCACTCGCGTTTCATTGCGGCTAAAGCACGGCTGCATAACATACATCTGTCTGTCGTTGGCCTTTCACGTGGTGCATTTCTCAATATTGTGTCATGCAGTCGCCCTCATGAGGGCACCTCTCGTGCTCCTCTCGTGTCACCACCCTTGCGTGGTACAGCCCTGTCCAGCTGTCGTTCATCTACTAACGTGGGTGTTGCCTTCGGTCCTGCTATGGCGGTCACTCTGACCCGGCATTCCCCGTCCCCACCGGATGCTAAGGTGATGCTCCATTCAGGCTCACCATGTTTTGTCCGCTAAATTGTAAAAATCTTATGTAAAGGTCGAGTGAGCTTGCACCAAGACGAAGTGTGTTCTTAACGCCCTTTTCACCACAGCGATACCAGCGATTTACCACAGTGCTGCGTCGCAGGGTAACGGCTCGTGAAGGTCGACATGTCGGAGAGCTTCTATGCGGAGACCTGCTGGCCGTCTGGAGGGCTGGCAACACCAAGAGGAAGAAGGACTTCTCCTGCTCTGATCGGCTGTTTGCGCTGAACATCGGCCTCCGCTTCTGCACGCCCGAGGAGCTGTTTCGGGGGTGAGCTGGAGGCGTGGGTAGCGTTGTGTTGCATCGTACTGTACGAAAATTGTCTGCTTCAATGAAAAAATTGGTAGTAAAATGCATTAAACATATAGTTCCGAACTCGTGCCGACCCGGCCCGATCCGGTCTGACCACGACGTGACGCCGACCCCGACCCCGACCCCGACCCCCGACCACGACCCGACCCCCGACCCCGACCCGACCCCGACCCGACCGACCCCGACCCCGACCCCGACCCGACCCCGACCCCGACCCCGACCCCGACCCCGACCCCCGACCCCCGGCCCCGCCCCGACCCCGACCCCGACCCGACCCCGACCCCGACCCCCGACCTCGACCCGACCCCGACCCCGACCTGAATCGAACCGAACCGAAGCCGAACCGAACCGAACCGAACCGAACCGAACCGAACCGAACCGAACCGAACCGAGCCGAGCCGAACCGAACCGGAACCGAATCGGACCAACGGAACGACCCGATCCGCCCGACCAGACCAGACCAGAACCCGAACCGGGTGTCACGCCTCGGTCGTCATGCCGACAATACGCTAGTATCTGCCACCGCTGCTCGCAGGCTTATGCAGTTTTCAGTAACAAGAAGTGCAATTTTTGAAGTGTTCGTCATCTGCATGCACTGTGCAGGATTTTCCCACATCACGTCAACAGCAATCGCAGTGCTATGTGCCCGGGAGATTGGTGCGTGGTTGACTGCCCGTGCCGCCCATGATGCGTGTGGCGGCTGCGCAGGACGCCCGGCCACACCCAAATACCAGCTGCCTGCGTTCGACCCGCGAGCCGCCGTCGACGAAGGAAAGCGGATGGCTCCAGAGACCCGCTGCCAGGGCGGAACAAGAGGTGGAGGGCGCTGCTGTTGAGGACAGAACCGGGGGCCAGCCACCGCCGGCCGCTTCGCCTCCTCTGTCATCAGCTTGGCCCGAGCTTCGAGCATTGGTTGGCGATGAGTGGACAGCGGTGTGTGAAGTGGCAGCTGCAGTCTGCGTGGCGTGACGCCACATCGCCCGCGCGTTGTGACGTCGCCGGTGTGACGGTCACGCCGTCTGAGGGTGACGCGGACGCGGCGTCACCGGTGTGCCGCGTCAAGATCCCGAACGGAGTGTCGGGCGCTGTCCGTCGGTCCGTGCGCGGCTCTGCTGTCCTGTGCGCGACGGTGGGTCCAGTTAGCCAGAACCTGCTCCTGTTACCAGTTGGCCCTCCCAGGCCCGCTGGGTCGATAATGCCCAGGTCAGCCCCGTCTGCCATCGGCTCGCGCACCGGCCCCTCGCGACCCGACCTCTGTGGCCGCACCGCGGCGCTGCTGTGGCACCCCGCCAGTGCCGGCGGTTCGCCTCAGGTCACGTGACCGGCAGGTGGTCGTGCTGGTGGGGCCGCCCGGTTCTGGCAAGAGTCACGTGACCCGGCGTCAGCTGGTGCCGGCTGGCTACGTGCCGGCCAACAGAGACACGCTCAAGTCCTGGCAGAAGTGCGTCCAAGTGGTGGAGCAGGCTGTCAAGGTAGGAGCAGAGAGATGCTCGGGTGGGCGCCCCCGGCTCGGCGCTCGCGCTGGTGTCTCAGCCAGAGGGGCTCCACGCTGCTGGGGGGCTACAACCGACCGCCCCTGTCGGGGTCGTACACACGGTGGTGTTCAGCCGGTATGTGCAGCCCTGGTTTGGAGGTTTGGTGCTAGTCGTTTCATCTTTTGGGACCAGCTGGCCTGAGGTTTACACATGAATGTTTTGATTCCTCAGCATGCCTCCTGTTCATTCAGCTCGGACGTGACGGACATGCTTTCTACAGGGGCCTTGCCATGATTGGCCCGAAGGCTCCAAGACCAAACGGTTTGGCAGGTGCTGTAGCTATGGGGGCGACGAGCCTCTCAGCGCCGAGCCGGTCGCCCGCGTCGGAGGCCGAGCTCGTAGAGTATCGCTGATCGTGTCTGCCTGTCGGTTCGCTCGTGTCGGAGGCAGAGCCTGGAGAGTCCCGGTGATCGTGTCTGTCTGTCGGTCGCCAGTGTCGGAGGCCGAGCCCGTAGAGTCCTGGTGACCGTGTCTGTCTGTCTGTCTGTCTGTCACCCGTGTCAGAGGCCGAGCCCGTAGAGCCTCGCTGACCGTGTCTGTCTGTCTGTCGCCCGCCTCGGAGGCCGAGCCCAGAGAGTCCCGGGGACCGTGTCTGTCTGCGTGTCACCCGTGACGGGGGCCGAGCCCGGAGAGTCCCGCTGACCGTGTCTGTCGGTCGGTCGGCCGGCAGGAGGGCAAGAGCGCTGCCGTCGACAACACGAACGGCGACCGGGAGAGTCGGCAGCGGTACGTGGCGCTGGGCCGGCGCCTGGGCGTACCGGTCCGATGCCTGCTGATGACCACCTCGCTGGCCCAGGCCAAGCACAACAACAAGGTAGCGACGTCGGGCCGCCCACTCGCAGCGCGATGTTATCTAACGGCGGCACGCGACATGAGTTTGCAAAGCGCGTGTTGTGTGGACGGCTTGGTGGTCGTAGCTCTGGCCTCCATGCCGGGAGTCGTCACAGCCGGTTTGTACGTGGCCCGGATTTGTGAACGTGCTGGGCTCTTGCGAGGTTAGGTGTGTTCTCGTCTCTCGCCCGAAATAATAGCGCCCTGACCCGACTTGTTGTACCGGCCTGACCTGACCTTTGTACGGGCTGACCTGACTTGTGTACCAGCCTAACCTGACCTGTGTTCTGGCCTGACCTGTGTACTGGCCTGACCTCTTCTGTGTCCTGGCCTGACCTGACCTGTGTACTGGCCTGACCGACCTGTGTCCTGGCCTGACCTAGCCTGTGTACCAGCCCTGACCTGGACCTGCATACAGGCCTAACCTGACCTGCATTCCCTGACCTGACCTGCATTCAGGCCTGACCTGACGTTGTACTGGCCTGACCGACCTGTGTCCTGGCCTGACCTAGCCTGTGTACCCCTGACCTGACCTGCATTCAGGCCGACCTGACCTGTGTACTGGCTTGACCGTAGCGTGGCGTCGGACCGTTTCAGTTTCGCGAGCTGACTGATCCCAGTCACCAGCACGTCACCGAAATGGTCTTCAACATGTTCAAGTAAGGCTCTGCATGTGCATTACGCCTTGATGAACGCCTTGATGTCAAAAACGACTATCAGATGTGTAGGCCCTCACCGTGCGGCCTGCTTAGATAGAAGTCCACGAGCAGACTAGGCGCAAAAAGATCGGGAACCCGAGAACGACAGAAAAGCGACGGCGATATGGGGACACTGATGCGTCTTTTTGCAGCTGGAATGGTCGGCTTGCGATTGGCCGTCATCAGGATATTACATACACAATGAGAAAGCAAGGCTATATTTAACAAACGTCGCTAGGTTACACGCATACATGGTTCAGACATTGGTCTTGACTCGCACAACTGATCAAGCGAGCACAGCACTTACCTGGACGCGGACACAAAACAATGCATCAAGAGACCTCCGATTTGGACTTCGTATAGGCTAGGAGAGGTCGCTGAACTAAATTTCCCTCATGAACCCGCTATGTATGACGCTATATGATCATTGTATTGTATGATTGCTTCTGATGATCCTCTGATGATGGTCTGACTGGCTCTTGGACCGGCCAAATGTTATACTTAGTAGCTCTGGGCGGCATTCAGAAGCGCGGCCGAACAACATCCGCGTAAGTGAAGAAGAGGTCGGGACGCGTGTCACCCAGACACGGTTGTCCACGCTCGTTCGGATGTCGCAGGTCCCGATACGAGGAGCCCACCGAGGACGAGGGCTTCTCGGAGGTGACCAGGCTCGCGTGCGTGCCGACGTTTGACGACCGGGAGCGGGAGCGGCTCTACCGGTTCTACCTGACCGAGAAGTGAGCGCCGGACGTCACACTGCTCGTCCCCGCCGGCTCTACCCGACCGGGAACGGGAGCGGCTCTACCGATTCTACCTGACCGAGAAGTGAGCGCCGAACTTCACACTGCTCGTCCCGCCGGCTCTACCCGGCCGGGAACGGGAGCGGCTCTACCGGTTCTACCTGACGAGAAGTGAGCGCTGGACATCACACTGCTTGTCCCCGCCGGCTCTACCCGACCGGGAACGGGAGCGGCTCTACCGGTTCTACCCCGACGAAGTGCCGCGGCGTGTCGGTCGCCCTGCGCCGCTCCCTCTGCCGCACTGGGCTGAGCTGCTGCCCTGCTGCGGCTGGGGCCGCTGCGGCCGGTAAGGACGCTGACAGCTGGGAAGGGGCCTGCTCCAGCCCCGGTGCCATGCATACACGAATGCGGCGGCGCCGGCGGCGTGCGCCAATGACGTCACTGGACGCCCGCCGATGACGTTACTGGACGCCCGCCGATGGCGTCTGGACGCTGCCGATGACGTCTGGACGCCTACCGATGACGTCTGGACGCCTACCGATGATGTCCGGACGCCTACCGATGACGTCTGGACGCGTACCGATGACGTCTGGACGCCTACCGATGACGTCTGGACGCCTACCGATGATGTCCGGACGCCTAACGATGGCGTCCGGACGCCTGCCGATGACGTCTGGACGCCTACCGATGACGTCTGGACGCCTGCTGATGACGTTTGGACGTCAGCCGATGGCGTCACTGAACGCCTGCCAATGACGGCACTGAACGCCCGCCTATGACGTCACAGATGACATACGTGTCATGATTGGTGGATCAGTCTGATTTATTTGTGTTCGATCGCGCCGGAGCGGTCCTGTTTTAAACTTAGCCGCGGTCTGACTTGTTTTTTTCGGCTTGTGTCGTGCCTGGTTGTGATGCAGGTGATTCAACCCAAACTTTGCTGTTGTCTGTTGACATCGTTTGGCGCCGTGCGACTGTGATCGTGGATGAGCTCTTCATATGTTATAAAAAACGGTGCCGCGTCCAGCGCCTATTTGAGAACAAATATGCCAATAAAACGTGCATAGAAACGCCTCTACCAGCGCAGTTTGCCAGCGCGGGTTTGATTGGTTCACGGATCGACAGCCAGAGTCTGGCTGGACTGCACGTGGTTTGCTGGTCAGGGGTGCTGCCCGCAGTACGCTCGGGTCCATCTCGGGGAGGGACAGGCCCTGTCCCAGCAGGTTGGAGTGGGTGACCTCAGTCCCGACTGGCTGGAGTGGGTGACCTCAGTCCCGACTGGCTGGAGCTGCTGACCTCAGTCCCGACTGGCTGGAGCTGCTGACCTCAGTCCCGACCGGCTGGAGTGGCTGACCTCCCCGACCGGCTGGAGCTGTGACCTTTGCTGATTTTCTGCTGCGCCGTAATTGAACTGGTTTTCTTCTTCGCGTCATCTTTGTGCTAACCATTGTGCAAACATGACTTTTTTACTGAAGTCAGCTTAGACCTTCAGAATCCAGCTCGCCATAAACTAAACGAGGATGGTAGTTGGGAACACCGACCGCATGATAATCAGGCGCCTCTTCGCATCCGCCGAAACAGAAAGGTGGTATAATTGGCTTTGTGACCTCGAACAAACAAAAAAGAAAAACGAAAAAAGAGGCTAGTTTAAGTGGACGAGCGCCGTAGGTGTGCTGACGTTTTATAGTGTCCTAGTTTATAGCGCATCGTTGCCATCAAAACTTGTGACGCATCTGTGTTGAGAACAGGACGCATTGTAATACGTTCTGGTGGTCAACACAGGTCAACTAACCCATCCTCCCATTGACCTGGATAATCAGCACCCCACTGAACTGAAATCATAACTACGTCCTCCATGTCTATCGCACCCCTTGGCACCAGTACCCCCTCCCCAACCTCTGCAAGCGTGACCCTCTCCCGTCCAAGCTCCTGGACGCGCCGGTGGCGGCAGCCGAGATCAGTTGCGATCTAATAAATCATTCATACACCCAGCCCGAGATCTACTTGCGTCAACTTCTGCATCTTATTGCATCCCGACGTCAGTACCGCAGCTGATTGGATTGCCCTTAAAAACGGACAACAAGCCGATGCCGCCACGATCGCCCGGGGGTGCCCATGTCCGTCAGCCGAGCCCAACGGCGCTTTAGAATAGCTGTCCTCGCGTTACGGCTGGGGAAAAAGACAGCTTCGCCTCAATGCGTTCGAAAGGTGAAGTGCACCGAGGAACGTGCACTCATAGTGGTGTCTTATCGGAGATTTACTGGCGAGTCCACGATCAAACCGTAAGCTTGGCTCCCTGACAGTTTGGATATTGGTTGTGACAGTCATGCATTCAATCATTCATGCATTGCTTACGGCGCTCCGCATGGGTGCGGCTTTCGGGTCATGTGTTGGTGCACAACTCATATTGGAATACGTACGGCGTGCAAAACAAGACAGATGGTGCAACAATGAGGTGTCTTTCGTCACTTAGCTGCAGGCATTTCGCCAATCTTCTCTGCATTCTGCCCCTGCACACAAACCGTTGGGCGTGCCTCTTTCTTCTACTGAGGTTTTATTGAAGGTGTCAGTGAACGCAAATTCTACAATAAGAAACAATTTTGCTAGTCCGCTAACAAAATACAAAAAAAGTGCAATGCCCCGTTGCAATGCCTGGCAGCTGGAGTGGTCTATCCTGCGACTGGCGTGTCTCGGATGTTTTCTCCTCCTTCTGGATCGTTCACGGAGCGAGGCAGGTGCGTGAAAACTATGCACTAAGAAATATCTGTAATACGATACAATTTTTAATATTGATTGAAAGCACTAAGCAATACACACCATCGCGCTATTTCCTTCCATAATACGCCAGTCTAAGGTGAGCCATTTCAAGTATCTTCAGTTTTGTCTTGTGTTTCAATTTTGTGTTGCGTTAGTTTTGTTGTCATCAGAATCGACAGGAACATTTAACAATCCTGGTGGTGTGGTTTATTATTATTGGGTTCACTTGCGTTGCGCTGCTATACATCCGTTCCACGCTGTGATGCACGTGTAGGAGAAAACAATGACTTTCATTGTATGTTTTTGACTTCTTCGGGTGGGAATGGACTAGAGGGCAGTGTCTGCTCGATATCTGAGTGTGATGAATCTCAGCGGAGTTGTTTGGCCTTCGATGACAATGCATGGTTACCATTTGCCACACCGTGCCATTCGACCATCGACTCATGAGACAGGACGGTGATCAGTTTATACTGTGTGTGTGTGCGTGCGTGCGTGCGTTCGTGCGTGCGTGCGTGCGTGCGTGCGTGCGTGCGTGCGTGCGTGCGTGCGTGCGTGCATGGTGTGTGTGTGTGTGTGTGTGTGTGTGTGTGTGTGTGTGTGTGTGTGTGTGTGTGTGTGTGTGTGTGTGTGGTGTGTGTGTGTGTGTGTGTGTGTGTGTGTGTCTGTGTGTGTGTGATTCAGTGCGTTGGTTTTGAATGACTGCCTTTTTCTCACGACCTTTTAGCCGTCCGCGTGTCTGTCGGCGACAGGTAAGTGACGACCCGGAATTTATTCGTGATTGTCGAAATACAAGTCAATCAATCACCACTCGTGTTATTGATACAAAATAGTCTAAAAACATTATTTTCACCAGCGTTGCATTACGGCTGACTGTTGTCACTGCTGCGGACGTCGCCCGCTTGTAGCGCTCACCTCCGGTGGCAGTTTGCTCGCTCGGCTGCCCTGCTCCGGTCCGGCCCTCCCGTCTTCTCGCCCTGGCGCCGCCCGCGCTCCGGCTGCCATTTTCGGCATCCTCGCACGCCGGGATGCCTCCCAAATGATGGCGTCCTCTTTGTTTGAATCCGGCCTGGACATGGTTGTCCAGTAAAAACGGCTGCTGGTCGGGCTTATCGGTCGAATAAATTACCGACTGTCCGTGCCGGTCGGGCGGCCGGGCGGCCGGCGGGCGCCGCTCGCACCTCGGCCCGCGTACCCCTCTGCCGCCCGGCCGGCGCCGCCACGGCCGGAAGCTGGGCGCGTCAGCGCAGCGGCACCGCTGTCCTCCTCCTCCCCCCCCCCCCTGCCCCCAGCTCGCCTAGCTCGGCTAAGTTGTACTGCAAACTGGGACCACGTGCGGGACTGCGCGTGCTTTGGTGATGCAGCTGCAGATGTATTCCAACCCGAAAATAGGCACCATCCATTGGAGCCAGTGCATCCCCAACACTTGGCACGCTTAGTACACGCAGATTGGACAGAAATGATCAGGCGAGATGTGGCAGGAATTTTCATTTCATTCAAAACCACTGCATCGTGACTGAGTGCCCCGACCGTGTGAGAGAAGTCGTGGGTTCTATCCTTCGTGGGTTCGATCCTCCTGGCCAAACGTTTGGCTGGCTGTCGCCACAATGGGCCGAAACATCGTTGCTAACCGACCATAGATGTCGATGCTGTCATTACGACTTTGCGACACAATCAGTTGCTGAGATTATGTGGCGCTGGCTGCCTCTCACCCCGTCGGGAAGAGTGGGCATCGCGGGGGAATGAACCTCGCACCTCTGCTTTCACAGGAGAGCGGCCCGCACTCGACTTGCGGTTGAATTGAGAGGTTGAATGCATCGATATACTCCATTCACAGACAATCAGATCAGCTTAAAACCAAAAATTGGCACATTCCTAGTAAATAAGCCGGTGTAAAATAAGTCCCTTAATTGAGGTACCGAAGAACAGACCACAGACGCAGATATTTCATGTTTCTATGGTATTTTCCCCCTGTTCTTGAAAGGCAAAGAGTTGTGCAGACAACGTACTTTTGGCGTGCTGGATGTGATGTACTTTCTCAAGCCATCACGACAGAGAAGTTAGTGTTCGCTTCCCTATCCGACATGGTGCACTGACAAGATAAAACTCCGTCAAGACAACTTCGCACTTTATAAAGATTTATATCTGCATTCAAATGCGGGCCACCACGATGTGGCCCAAATTCATGCCACTAGTGGTCGATATGTTAATTGTTACTCATCACCACCATTATGGCCTACCATTTAATCTATAAGATCATAGCGAAGGCCACAACTTTGGTGAAGGTGTGCGAAAAATGCGTTAGAGCATCGTACCACGGCTCCTGGTGGTATCTGTATCATCATTTTCATAA